TCGCACATGGGGCTGCCAACCATCGCCGGGGGAATAGGTGACTCATGCCTCAGCTATCGCTCCCACTTTTTGTGCCGAACACGCATGATCTGTGAAGATGAGGACACTGCAGTTTTCTTTCCCTCCTGGAGGGGAACTTGGTGGCTGGGACAGAGCATGGGGGATACTAGTGGGCTTGGGTACAGAGAGGCTTCAGGGTGGTGGTGGGGGGGGAGGAATGGAGTGAAGCCCAAGGAATGAAGAGGCATGAATTCTGTCCTCAGAGGGTGCCCAGGTTGAAGGGGACGAGAGACCTGCCCTCTGGACATGGATCCAGGGACAGAAGCAGGGGGACAATACGCTGGGACTCAGCGTAGGGCTAGGGAGGGCCTCACACAAAGATCTGGGGAAGGAGTAGGGGGAGATGACCTTATGTCTGTCAGTTTAATTCAAACAGTGTTCACTGAGCACCTCCAGTGCAAGGCTGGGCTGAGTGTGCAGCGATGTGAAGGTGAGGAAGTCGATGTGTGCCCTGACCTTGGGAAGTGTACTGCCCTGTGAAACCAAGGGGACATGTGAAAAAACCACCTTCCAGTAAATATGTGTGTTATTGAATATGTTCTATTCCATGCTTCTTCTATTAAAGGCATACAGGTTGCAGTGGTGACTCCTAGGAGTGAGCCCTGGGCTTGTATTGCAGGATTTGCCTAATCCTTGCCTCATGGACATCTGGACCAATCTGGCCCCTGCCTGGTCTGGGAGGTGAGTCCCTGTTTAGAAACACTACCCTTATTCTCCGTTCCTGTACATCTCTGTGAGGAAGGCCAGGCAGCCCTCCTTGTCCCCCCCTCTACCAAGGAGACCAGCAGGGCTGCCACTACAGCTCCCTTAGCCTCACGCTTGTCTGCTGAGGGTGGGAAAAACAATGCCTGGTGAAGTTAAGTAATGTGTCCTGCCAAGTCTTGGTAACTGCCTCTGTGGGGACTCCATGTAATCCCTCTCTTCCCGCCACAGTGAAATTCCAGGCTGGGGCGGGGCTCTCCCACACACCGGTGCGCTGGTGCCTAGCTCCCCAGGGAGCTCCTCCATTGTGTATAGCTGTCCGGGTCTGGCACTATGGGAGGGGCTGCCCTGCCTGCTGGAGGGAAGGTTCCCACAAAGCTGGACAGAAGAGTGTCCTCCCCCCAGTCAGGCACCCAAACACTCCCTGTCACATTCACTTGCCACCCACACACCGTTGGTCCCCGGCATCTGAACCTGAGCTTGGCACACTCCATGATTCTCAGACCGGCCAGAATGCATTCCTGTTCTACCAAGTCCTTCTTCTACAGCACAGCTGGGAGGAGGAGGAATGGAGAGAAGAAAATGTCCCAGGATCTCAAGAAGGTGGAACTGTCCCCAGGGCAGTGGGGACTACACCCAGGACCTGTGTGTGAAGGACATACCTTGATGGTGATCTTCCAGTGGAGAGAGAGAACTAGGGCTAGGAGTCCCCAGACACCTGCTTCAAGCTTGCATCTGTTCTATCAGGGGCTGAAGGTCCCCCAGTATGTCTCAGAGCCCCTAAAATGCTCACATCTGTTCCCTGAGAGGCAACAAAGGGTAAAATTGGTGAACTCATTAAAATTCATCTCTGAGGGTCTCAGGAATTTTCCAGACAGGGAGGCAACCCAAACCTCATTGCCCCAAACCTGTAAGATAGCTCCGGACATTGATCTGTCTGCCTGGATTTTCCTGTCCCCTGCTTTCTCACCACAGCCTCTGCTGAGCAATCACATCTCCAGCAGCTCCGAGTCATTTTCCCACAGCTGCAGCTTCCTCAAGGCCAAGGACAGGCCCTGACTAGAGATCCTGGAGCTCACACTGGGTCCCCACTCCTTTACTCTTAAGAACATAGCCTTAGCTCGGAGGCTTTGAAGCCATTCCCACCCCACCCCTACCTCCAGCCCCAGCCCAGGGGAGCCCCCATAGCTCTTGATGGCCCAAGTGCTGCCTGGGAGTCCTGCTTCTGTTTGAGGGAGGCAAAGAGGTGGCTCCATTCAGATTTGCAGCCAAAAAGAAGAGTGTGGGTTAGAACAAACATTTGCCAAAGCCTAACCCGACCCCCTCTCCTCTACTTGGTACCACAGCCCACGCAAACAAGCTTTGCAGAGGATCTTACAAGAGGCCTTCCTAAAACAACTGGGGCAGATTGTTATGCCAGCTCCCCAGTCCCTCGAACCTGCTCTGTCTAGTCTCACTGACAGGACAATCCATAACCTTAGAATTCAGTTTTCCATTCCCTTGGCCCTGAAGGAGACTTTGGGCCGGAGCCCAGAGAAAGCACAGCAGTTCCCGCTGCTTTGAGCGAGCGGCTCTCCGTTATAACAGGCCGGTGGATTCTCAACATGTTCCTGATGAGATTAGAAGCTCCTGCAGGTATGTGTTTGTGGCGGCCCTCAGCCTGTATCAACAGATACTCGATGACTCATTTCTTGCTTAGTGGAATAACCAAGGGCTTACTGGAACACACCTGGGGGGCCAGGGAGGGGGCAGAGCAGCTCCCCCCCCCCAAGAGGGACTTGACTGCCAAGCTGAGTGTCCGGACTTTTGTGAGGGATCCTGGGCTTACTCAGCCCAGCAGGGTCCAGCCCAGGCCAAAGTGCAAGGGAAAAGGTCAAACGTCACAGAAAATGCTGCATTAGGAGGAGCTGTGGAGGGATAGGCCTGCCCTGCAGAGAGCAGAATGGCATAGAACAGGGACTGAGCATGCCCCACTCTCTGTTTCTGGAGCTTGGGGCTTGGAGAGCCTTTCTGGCCCGAACCTTGCAGGAAAACCTTCCCCTGGGCTCCGGGATAACTGTGCCTCCCCCAAGAAAAGAAATTCTGCAGTGAAGGATGGATCTGTTTTCCCCTGTGGCTCATAGACTGAGCTATCAGGAGATAGTTACCTTCAAGTGCTGAAAATCCTTCCAGCAACCTCTTGTTTAGAAGAATGAGAGGGGCAGATAGTTGCAAATGGGGATTCACTTTGTCCCCCACTCATGGACAGTGTATACCGTGCTGGGATGGTTGACAACATCCCTGGTCCTATAAAGATCCCTTGGGACATTGGCCAAATGCCCCCTTGCTTCCTGGCATCCTTCTTGGGCTGCTCACAGCCCCGGGCCCCCACGGGGAAGTGCAACTTGCTGCCAAGACATCAGTGCTGCAAGGCAGGGTTATTCCTAACTGAGCGGCGGAGCCTGCCAGGAAGCGAGCGTTTGCACCCCACACCACTCTGCAGGTGTGCCGGTGAGCTCACAGCTGCCCCCCAGGCGTGCCCAGCCCACTTAATCATTTCACAGCTCGACAACTGTCCCGCCCAGCACTGTTCTAAAGGATAAAAGGGGGGATTGCAGTAACAGAGCCACCTTCTGCATCCTGCCGAGCTCTGTTCTCTCCAGCACCTCCCAACTTCTCGTGCCGACCGACTTGCTCCACAAGGAACAAGCCGTCATGTCTCGCCAGTCCAGTGTGTCCTTCCGAAGCGGAGGCAGCCGTAACTTCAGCGCGGCCTCTGCCATCACCCCGTCTGTCTCTCGCACCAGTTTCACCTCTGTGTCCCGATCCGGGGGTGGTGGCGGCGGCGGCTTTGGCAGGATCAGCCTTGCGGGTGCTGGTGGAGCAGGCGGCTATGGCAGCCGGAGCCTCTACAACCTGGGGGGCTCCAAGAGGATCTCCATCAGCAGTAGTGGCGGTGGCTTTAGAAACCGATTTGGTGGTGGAGGTGGCTATGGCTTTGGAGGTGGAGCCGGGGGCGGATTTGGTTTAGGCAGTGGAGCTGGTCTTGGCTATGGGTTCGGTGGAGGTGCTGGCCTTGGGTTCGGTGGAGGTGCTGGCCTTGGGTTCGGTGGAGGTGCTGGCCTTGGAGGTGCTGGCTTCCCAGTCTGCCCCCCTGGAGGCATCCAAGAAGTCACGGTCAACCAGAATCTCCTCACTCCTCTGAACCTGCAAATCGACCCCACCATCCAACGAGTGCGGACAGAGGAGCGGGAGCAGATCAAGACCCTCAACAACAAGTTCGCCTCCTTCATCGACAAGGTGAGCCACGATCCTTTGTGAAAAACTGCTTTGAGTGTGGAACAAATACCAAAGAAAGTAGGAAGAGAAACTTCGTTTGACCTTGTGCAAATACCTTCCTAGTCTGCAGTTAACGTGTTTCTATTTGTTTCCATTCCGGAGTTGTGGCTACTTTCCTAATGAGACTGGCGGCTTGGAAGACAGGGTCTTAGTTATTCCTGTTTAGAGATTAGCCCACAAGGGCGCCTTGATTACTGTTGGGGAAAGAGACGGATCCTGTGCTTCCTGTAACGGGGCTGACTGCACTGCATAGAAAGGCAGAGGAGTTCATCGGGCAGCAGCCCGAGTGCCTTCACAGCCACCGCTACACTGGGCCACACTCCGCCCGGCCGTGCCCAGTGCTATCTGTGCCTTGAATAAATGCCCTGCTTCCCCGGGAGAGTCAGGTTAGGTGCTTCACTCTGTACCTCCCCTCCCAGGGCCCAGGGCCAGGCACTGCACGTGGGAAAGGTTTCAGAGGACAGCAGGAGAAGGGAGAAAAACCGGTGATGACCATCGGAACGTGAAATCCAGGCTTCTCCATCTTCAACGTCTGTCCCTTCCAGGTGCGCTTCCTGGAGCAGCAGAACAAGGTCCTGGACACCAAGTGGACCCTGCTGCAGGAGCAGGGCACCAAGACCGTGAAGCAGAACCTGGAGCCTCTGTTCGAGCAGTACATCAACAACCTCAGGAGACAGCTGGACAGTGTCCTGGGGGAGAGAGGCCGCCTGGACTCGGAGCTGCGGAACATGCAGGACCTGGTGGAGGACTTCAAGAACAAGTGAGATGGGTGGAGTGGAGACAGGGCGGGTGATGTCTTCTTGGCACCAGATGTACTTTATAACGAGACTACTGCTTGTGCCTTCCCCACGGGCTAGACACATACGCCTTCCATGGACACTTGAAGCACTAAAATAAAATCCAGGTCCATGTCTAGAAAGTTCCAGCCCCACGCTATGCAAGGCACTTAGCCACTGGCTGGAGCAACAAGCCTGGTGCCCCTGGTACCAGTCGGGGAAATAGCAGGCAGTGTCATTCCTGCTAGTTGGGGCTTTCCTCCCCAGTACACTCAGAGTACACAGCATGGGCATTTCGATGGATTCCCCCCAAAGCGAGAACTGATGACATAACTCAGGTTGGTGGCTCAAATAATTTTTTTAGTCCTTATGAACTAGCAAGCTGGGCTGCTAGTGTTTTCATGTATTTTTTTTTAAAGACTGTGAAAACTGATACAAAGCATTAGAGAAATTCACTAGATGTGGAGTTAGGAAGAAACAGCACAGGTTCCTATAGGCATATTCTTCAAGCAACTGAGTTATGGCAATGACAGAATGATTATCTGGTGGGCAGTTAAAAAGAAAAGAGTATCTTAAGAGTAAGGACCTTGCCCAGGGGCTCACACTANGGGCAGTTAAAAAGAAAAGAGTATCCTAAGAGTAAGGACGTTGCCCAGGGGCTCACACTACCAGTGCTCCCTTCCTCTCAGCCTCCCTTCCCTTCCCAGGGGGAAAGTAGGCGCACAGTTGACTTTATGCAATAAAGACCCCCCGGCCTCACCTGTCCCTCTTCTTCTAATGAGCCCTTCCCCTTCCTTTGACCCCCAGGTATGAAGATGAAATCAACAAGCGCACCACTGCTGAGAACGAGTTTGTGATGCTGAAAAAGGTGCGTGGGTAGAAGAGAACCCGCTGCCTGTGGCTGTGCTCTCTTAAGGTCGCTTAAGTCAGGGTGGAAATTGGGTGCAGTGCCAACCATCCCTGTATCTCTAGGATGTGGACGCCGCCTACATGAGCAAGGTGGAGCTGGAGGCCAAGGTCGATGCACTGATGGATGAGATCAACTTCTTGAAGATGTTCTTTGAGGCGGTAAGAAATGCCCCTTATTCAGGTCCCAGAGAGATGGTCACTGGGACACTGCCAGGGACTAGAGTGTCCAAGATTAAGTGACTTTCAGTGGCTCCTAAGCTGTGGACACAGCCTTTCCTTTCCTATCCCTTTAGTCCTGCTCACACTATTACTTATAAAGCCAATCCTTAAAAAAACAAAGTCAAATTTAAAGCAAATTCTTCAACCATCATTTTGCCGAGTGAGGCCTGGATTCCTTCCAAATTGAGGTTTGCAGTGAGTTATTATTGGCATGAGTACACCTTTCCTGAACCTCCCCTCGTTGTTTCGTCCCAGCGTGGCAGACCAGTCAACTAGAGTCTTTTGAAATGAGTTATGACCCAAGAAGATTCACATCTGACAGGGTACAAAGTAGGCGTTTCTTGGAGGTTCAGAGTTGTTAAAGTTTTTAAAAACAGATTTAATAATGGTTTGGATTCTTTATTAACGTAACTAAATGTTTCATGTAGGTGGTTATTATTTTTTCCCCAACTTGACATGCCACAATGAGTGGAATAGTTCAATGGACCTGACATAAAATAGCACAGAATCAGACGACTGACTTCAGGTCTCCCTGTAGGAGCTGTCCCAGATGCACACGCACATCTCAGACACGTCTGTGGTCCTCTCCATGGACAACAACCGCAGCCTGGACCTGGACAGCATCATCGCCGAGGTCAAGGCCCAGTACGAGGACATCGCCAACCGTAGCCGGACGGAAGCCGAGTCCTGGTACCAGACCAAGGTGGGTACTGTGGCAAATGTGTCCTGAGCGAGGGGAAGGACACATGTTTAAGACTCTGGGCCACAAAAAATGCTAAGGATGGGGCTCCTGAGACCTGCTGAAACCTCTTGGGTTGAGTTATGAGAACAGTCATGTGCACCTTCGCCACATAAATTTAAGAACCTTAAGGAGAATCTCAGCCTGAATCTCACACCAGTGTCTCCAGGACAGCAAAGCACTAAAGAGGAAATTATCTAACACCAGGGCTACCTTGATAAAGTCGACACTAGCGCCAGGCCTCAGATAACTCCACCGCTTGCCGCCTTTTGGTAGCCCCTGCCTGAGAACACCGGGAAAGTGTTTCCATCCTCATATAAATGGAACCTTTCCTCTTTTCTGGTGGCACCAGTACGAGGAGCTGCAGCAGACAGCCGGCCGGCACGGTGATGACCTCCGCAGCACCAAGCATGAGATCTCCGAGATGAACCGCATGATCCAGAGGCTGAGGGCCGAGATCGACAACGTCAAGAAGCAGGTGAGGAGAGGTTCAAAGAAGGCAAGGGGGGGCCTGAGCTCTAAAAGGAAGATCTATTTTGTTCGTTTTACTTTTTCTAAACACACACACACACACGGAGCTGGAACAAGTCCCAGCATTTCAATGTTCCCCCATTTACAATGACCAGGACAAATGTACTGGCTTCTCTCTGGAAACTCAGAAAGAGATACCGCAGGTCCAGCTCACTACTGAAGTGTCCCCACTTTTCCTCCTTTCCCCCTGTAGTGTGCCAACCTGCAGAATGCCATCGCCGAAGCTGAGCAGCGTGGGGAGATGGCCCTCAAGGATGCCAGGAACAAGCTGGCTGAACTGGAGGATGCCCTGCAGAAGGCCAAGCAGGACATGGCCCGGCTGCTGCGTGACTACCAGGAGCTCATGAACACCAAGCTGGCCCTGGACGTGGAGATCGCCACCTACAGGAAGCTGCTGGAGGGCGAGGAGTGCAGGTGGGCAACGTAGGGCTGACGTCACAAGCCCAGGATGGCCTCGCATTTGATAAGTGGAGCTTCTTCTCCACTACAGGGTGTAAAACACATGCAGTGAGCACTATCTTGTGCATGATAATCGTCTATCATTAACCTGGATTCAATCTGACACCTGGGCATACAGCTGACCTATCCAATATGGTCCCAATTCACTTTTCTAACCCTATTTCCACCACCAGTATTTTGGGATGCTGCCTCTCCTTCAAACAACAAAGCAGCTCAACAAAAGTCCCCCCCATTCTTCGAGTACCTCTTCCTTCAGGAAGCCTTTCATGACCCCTCCAGCTGAGTTAATTTCACCTGCCTTTGGATTCTCAAACTACTCTGTTTTCTTCAATCTTCTGACACTGCCCGCTGCCTACTTTCTGTTAGAAGTATTTCTGTCTTTGCCAAGTCCTCTCACAGAAGGTAAGCTCCTACAAGGCAAAAACTGCTTCGCACATATTCACAGTCCCCGCAGTCTTAATCACGCTTTCCATACAACGCGTGGAGGAGAGCATGACTTATAACCTTCCTTTGCTATAACCTATTACTAGGTCAGGTCTTCTTCTCTGGGAAGTCCCTCCAGAGAGCTTTCTTTTTCTCTAATTAAAGCAGGTTTTTTGGTGTGTTTTTTTGTTGCAATGTGCAGGCTCCTTGCTTATAGACCAAGCTTTAAACATGACTACAGGCGTTGTCTTTGGGGACGTTTTTAACACTTATTTCAATTGTTCCCCTTTCAGACTGAGTGGAGAAGGAGTGGGACCGGTCAACATCTGTAAGTAACTTTAAACCGACATTAACAATGATGATAATATGTGGTATTTCGTACCCACTCAGAATCCTGCTATTTCTAGATTCCAGACATTGCCGTCCCCACACATGGCTAGTTCATACACTTAGTGGAGGGGGAAGGACACACTTTGAAACATGAAGCAGTGTGGCTCATGTCGCATCTCTTAAAGGGCAGGCCCTGTATCTTACACATCTTGTACCTGGCTGCCCTGCCTTGACCCCACCCCCACCCCCGAGAACTCAGCACCATCCCTTGCCTGCTATTTCTGTTAGAGACCTTAACTAAACGACTTAGTTCTTCTGGGCCTCATTCGCTGCTCTGTTAAAGGGGCCAGGTACTGTACTAATTAACACTACTAGCAGGATCAAATAGTTTGCACGTGTAGGATCAATGTGACAGACTGGTCTCACCAAGTTTTCCCTCCTTTCTCTGCAGCCGTCGTCACGAGCAATGTCTCCTCTGGCTATGGAAGTGGTGGTGGCTATAGTGGTGGCTATGGCGGTGGCTATGGCGGTGGCGCTGGCCTCGGCGGCGGTCTTGGCGGCGGTCTTGGCAGCGGTCTTGGCGGAGGCGGCAGTGGCTACTACTCCGGCAGTGGCCTAGGCGCTGGCCTAGGCGGTGGGTTCGGTGGGGGGAGCTCTAGCTTCAGTTCAGTCAGTGGCCGAAACATGGGGGTGGGCTTTGGCAGCAGTGGCAGCGGAGGGGGCAGCAGCTCCAGTGTCAAATTTGTCTCCACCACCTCCTCCTCGAGGAAGAGCTTCAAGAGCTAAGAGCCTGCTGCAAGTCACCGCCGCCCGAGGGCAGCAACCGGCCCCTGGTGACTGCCTCTTCTAGGTGGCTGCCGAGCCAAGCACCCTGTTTTACTGGAGTGTAGTCTGGACCAAGCCTATTGCAGAGCCACAGTCTTCGGTTCCCAGAAAGGCCCAACCCCCAGCCTCTAGTCTCCTATGCCGCGATCCTATGTTCTACTTCAAATTAGCCTTTAAGTCTTTGCAGCATGGTCCTTGAGAGAAAAGTCCAAAGTTTTCCAGGATCTAAACCATCAAGGCAGAGTCCCACCCGAATACAAAGTTTTGTTCTGGTTCTGACTGCCTCCAGAGTGTGTTCAATAAAATGCTTTTATAATATAAGCTGCTTGCAGAATGGTTTTTTTCAAGGTCTACAGCCAGCCTAGAGACTTCTTGAGGGTCTCTCTGTCCAGATGTGATTGGTTCCTCTGATGGGTCACAGGGAGAATGGAGTGACCTTGAAGGGAGAGGGGCCATCCTGAGTGGTCCAGAGACTCTGGAAGGAGGTTGCTAAAGCTTATAGAATGAAGGAATCTTTGGAGAGCATGAATGGGAGTGTCCATTTGGACAGATTATAGAGCATCTTGTTGGAGGGGGTCCCCATTCAAGGTGGTCCAGTTTGCAAGTAACAGCATTAATCTGCTCAAGTAAAATTTATATAAGGAATATGTTGTCTTCAGAACCCAAAAAGGCCTAAAAGATGCTGGGCCTGTTTCTAATATTATGGGCTCTGAAAAGATCAATAGCTGTTACTTAACAGTGTCAGGGGTGGAGTAGTCCTCAGATTACCAAAAAATTTCAGGAATTTAACTGAGGCGATCGGAACTTGCACTAGGTGAGGGACTGGCCCATCCTCTTTTTGTGAGCATCTTAGTGAATATTTATCTATCCTGAGTGTATCCAGTGAATCTCTTTGGAGGAGGACCCCTCAATGTAATATCATCACTGTGCTCCTAGGGAAAGTCAGATGCTTTGAAGATCTTGCCTGCAAAGACTGTGCAATGGCAGGATTGTTGAGGTACTCCAGGAGTGTCTGAGTAAAGATTTATTGTACCCCTTCAAGGTAAAGGCAAACTCTGACTGACAGGCTATTGAAGTAGTCACCAAACAGAACACTATTAACCAAATTCCTAAAAAGCAAAATATTTACCAGTTCCTTCCTTCCTTCCTTCCTTCCTTCCTTCCTTCCTTCCTTCCTTCCTCTCTTTCCCTGCCTCCTTCCTCCAACCCCCTCTTTCTTTTCTATGATTCCTGGATATACATGTGGGAGAGAGAGACTCTCTCTACCCTGCTCATATCTATAAATTTGTTCCCCCAGAGAACATCAAATCAGAATCATCAGAGTTTGAGGCCTCCCCCATGCAAATAGTTGAATTAATGTCTAAGTTGTGCCGCAAAGGTGCCATATGTGTTTTCTCCTATAGCCCTGAGGCACAGCAGCAGCAGCAGTGGCATTTTGTAGAGCCCTAGTAAACCATCTGCCTTTGAGTGTGGCCTCAGCATGCCACAGAGCAACTGCTCGTCTTCCACATGATAGGACCCGATAGGACCATGTACTGCTCTGTTATAAATCTTCCCCATGAGCACTTCATAGAATGGGGGTCAATACCTACTTGAGACACACACCAGTGTTCACAAGGTAAGAGTCATTCCCTTGAACTTAGTGTCAGTCGTTATTTAGAGGAACGGAGAAACACCATTCAACGTGAGACACATGGATTGGTCGGGGCTGAGACACATGACCCAAGGCCACTTTGAGGAGGGCTCCAAACCCATACTCCTGACTCTAAATGACTAAGCTATCGAAACTTCTGATTAGGTCCATTAAGCCTATAACATAGGCCTTGATAGGTCTCAGTAAATGTGGCACAAAGCGGAGTAGCTCAAGGTGCAAGACTGATAGCAAGCAGCAGCGCGACTTAAAGAACCCGCGAGCCAAAAGCAGCGGCTCACAGCGCATGCTCGCAAGCAGATGGCACAGCCAGATTGCCAGCCAAAGCAAGGAAAGAAAGAGCCCAGTGGCAGCAGTCATCATGCAGACATCCTGCTCACGGCATCAACTACTGTGACCCCTCTACAGAGGCAGGAGGAATCTCCACTCAAAATTTGGTTCAGCTATTGAAGCTGATGATGCCACCCACACCAAGATGGTCTAAAAATGTATATTACTCTCAGAATAAAGCTTTCTGAAGAGAGCAAGACAGGTTCCTCAAGCTGATCCAAATACGGCTTGAAAGAGCAGAGAAAGGAGACTAGAGTGGAGTTTTTATGGTGGTTGGGGTAGGGCCAGGTTGAAGATTCCCACACATGGTTTGAAGTTCCCACCAGTCACAAAGAAAGGATTACCCAGGCTTTCTTATTAGTTTTCTCAGATGTGGGTAGAAGAGGAAGAGGGAGGAATAGAGCTTAGAAGCCCTCGAATGTCAAACATTATTACAGTAAGACTGGTTTAACATTAAAAAAACACACAATCATATAATGCACAACTTTAACAGAACAAAAGGAATCAAATGGTTCTCTCTTCCCACAAACCAGACAGCATGTATTATACTTAATAGTGAATGATCAAAAGCTTCTCATTGACATCAGGAAAGAAGCAAAGATAACTATAATCACCACAATCGTTCAGCATTATACTGGAGATTAGAGCCAGTACAATAAGACAAGACAAATAAACATCTTAAGAATTAAAAAGAAATAAAGCAAACTATAATTACTCACATATGACATAATTATATATGTAGAAAATCAAAAGTTCTCCAAAATATTAGAATTAGTTAGTGGATTTATCAAGGTCACTAGAAAATCAATACAAAAATCAATTGTATGTCTGCATAGTAGCAAGAAATAATTAGGAAATAAAATTTAAGATAGCATTTCCAGTAACATAAAAAAGACCTGATATCTGCCAGGCCGAGCGCTCAGCTGGCTGAGTGGCGTCCTGTGCACCAAAAGGTTGAGGGTTCAATTCCCGGTCAGGGCACAGACTTGGGTTGCTGGTTCTGTCTCCAGTCTGGGCATGTACTGAAGGCAATCGATTCATGCTTCTCTCTCTCACAGCGATGTTTCTCTCTCCTTCTCCCTTCCTCTCTCTCTAAAATCAATAAAAATATATTTAAAAAATATCTGATATCTAAGAATAAATGTATCCAAAGACATAAAAGACTTTATATAGAAAACTACAAAAGCTTATTGAAAATTACTTAAGAAACCTAAATACACACACACGCACACACACACACACACACACAGGTGTATGCCATCTTTGTGAATTGGAAAACTTTAGTTTTTTAATTTTTTAAAAATTTATCTTTATTGTTGAAAGTATTACAGGAGTCCCCCTTTTCCCCCTATTGATTCCCTCTACCCCATATCCACCCCAACCCCAGGCATTCCTCATACCAAAGTCTGTGTCCATAGGTTACGCATATAAACATGTAAGTTCTTTGATTAATCTCTCCCCACCCACTCCCCCACCCCTGCTTCTCTCTGAGATCCCTCAGTCTGTTCCATGCTTCTATTTCTCTGGATGTTCACCTGTTTATTTTGTTTATTATATTCTACATATGAGTGAGATCATGTGGTACTTGTCTTTCTCTGACTGGCTTATTTTGCTTAGCATAATACTCTCCAGTTCTAGCCATGCTGTCCCAAAGGGTAAGAGAGCCTTCTTTTTTACAGTTGCATAGTGTGAATTGGAAATTTTAATTTGTAAACATATCAGTGTCCCCCAATTGAACTATGGACTCAAAGCAATTTCAATCAAATTTCAGCTAGTATTTTATAAGAATTGATACACCTATTCTAAAACTTATATGGAAATTAAAAAATCTAGAACAGTCAAAACAATCTTGAAAAAGAACAAAGTTCTTATATTTCCAGATATTGAGACTTTTTACAAAGATATAGAAATTAAGAATGTGTGGTATTGAGGAAATGACTGAAAAATGGGCCAGTGGAACAATATATAAAATCTAGAAACAAACCACATGTAGACACATTAGATTCACAGCAATGGTGCCATTGCAATGCAATAAGGAAAGAATAACTTAGCACAACAAACGGTGCCGGTCAGTTGATTCTCCATACGGGAGAGGAAAATGTGGTCATGAGTCCTAAGTCACACCATTCACAAAAAGTCAGTTCAGCTGTATTATAGTCCTATACGTGAAAGGTAAAACAATAATGATCCTTGCCCTTTACAATAGGGATTTGAAGCAGCAGCCCAACCACCAGTGTCCTTGTCTGTAGTTCAATATGAAGGCAGATATACTTACTCCATAGGTAGAGCTGCCAGATTTAGTGAGTAAAAATACAAGATGCACAGGTCAATTTGAATTTAAGATAAATGACAAATAATTGTTTAGTATAAATATGGTCTATGCAATATTTAAGACATATTTAATACTAACCATTTTTATAGTTTGTGTGAAATTTAACTGGGTGTGCTCTATTTTGTCTGGGTAGCCCTGCACATAGGTGACTGAGATAGTAATGTCTGCTCTTAGTATCAAGCCTGCTGCAGGTAGTTGGCCTCTTTTTAACTGGGTACTCAGCTGGCCTTCACTTAAGGGTGGTGAGGGAGGCCTGTAACCTGCTGTCATGGAACTTCTCATGTGGAGAGGGATAGCTAGAGTCTGAGACTGGATCATTGGGAAGTTTCCTTATTAGCTTTTGGGATTTTGTAGAGCGGGGAAGTTCCTAAGTTCTGCTTTCACCATGCCCTTGACCTCAAACCCTGTAGCTACGTAAGAGAAGGGTAGGGAAGTCACTAATCCTCAAAAGTCTCCCCCAGCTCCAAAGCTTCCTCCTCGTGACCTGCTCAGCAGCCAGACCCTTGCCAACCTGCAGGCAACCACGGAATAGGACTAGACTTCAACTTGATTTTTAACCTAGGGCAACGGGTCACTAATTATCAAGTAATCAAAATATTATTATAACTGAATGGTTATTGCTATCCTTGTGGAAGTTTTTCTTGCTTTTATTCTGTTGCATACAGAATAAGAACTGGTATGAAATGCCTGATTAACCAGATTCTAGAATAAGCTCATATAAACATGGCCTAAAAGATAGTCCATTTCTGTCTAAAAGTCAAAATATGATTCTGACACTGATGTCAGGGAAGATTTTAATGAACCTCCAAAATCTCCTTTTGCTTTTCAAAATTTGCATACATGTTTACACTAAAAATGATTTTTGGGTATCCTATCACAAAAGGAGACTGTTCCCAGCCAGAACCACCTCAATTCAAACCTATGCTCATAAATTTGGTAACCTAGATGATATGGACCAATATCTTGAAAAACACAATCTGCCAAAATTCACACAATAGGAAATACACA